ACGTGGTTTCTTGTTGCCTAGCGACATATCATGAGAATCATAGTTTGTTCGCAGGACGCCTTGTTTATTAAAAAGTGACAGCCTGTAGCGAAGCTTGGATCTTCAATGCAGCAATCAATCAACTCGGATTGTTTGCTGTCGAGTTGCCGACCATACAATGAACTCGAAATTTCAATATTGCACTCGGCCTACGGCCTTGCGTAATATAGAAATTTCTCGTTCATTGTATGGTCAGCGCGTGCGTTTATTCGTAAACAAAACACTCGCAACAGTCTCTATAACCCTTAAATTAACTTGTAAATTGTATGGATGCTTGTACCGGTATGAATTCCTTTTATGATGCTTCCTCGCACGTTTAGCTTCAACTTCCTCTCCCGTTCCGCGACGCGATTATTTGATACCGTCTTTTGTCTCAATCGACTTTAGCGCGTGTGACATCCTGTTTGTTTTAGATTCAAAGCAGTTTCAGCGGAGTTCCAATTCTGTTTGAACGCTTATCTCCAATACGTCTTGACGTGCCAAACACATAATTATCTTGATTATCCGAAGTGTGACGATATCCGCGCTCTTGAAGTTTTCTTAGTAAGCACGCGAGCAGCGTAATATCAAAATCGATCGAGTATTGTTTTACAGCAACCGGCTTGCTTGAAAAAAAAACAGTGCCGATAAAAGATTGCCACAAAAATATGCAAGAAAGAATGTAATATGTCGCCGCCATATAAAGTGAGACCGTTGTTCAAAATTGGCTGCAAAGATAATGATATATTATATACCTAGCTAATAAGATTAATTTTACTGCACGAAATTATGAATGACTGAATTCTGAAATGATCTACTTGCTTGAATGACTTACTTTTAATCGTTATACACATTGACTAAATTTTACATGAAATAAAATACGCTATTCAGTGCTTCCTTTTTAGCTATAATTGTATCGAAAACAGGTGAATAGCTGCATGCGTTTAAGATGGGCTAATGTAGTTTAAACCACATTAATTTATATTAGGCTATATGCCTTAATTTTAGGATAAAGGTTATTCCGAATAGATTCATTGTACCAATTAAAAATTTCGATTCAAATCTGAGTCATATTCAGGAGAAAAAAAAAGCACAAAATGATTCAGAATTGAATCAAAATATAGAGTTTAAATTTGATTGTGTTTTTGTTTAAATTTTTGATGAACACAATTAATCTACGACTACGAATTATTTTTATCTTATATCTGGTGAAATTATCAGTTTGAAATGGTTCCCTATATATTTATCTTTGGGTACTAAACTAATTCATAAAAATATAGATTTAGTGATATATATTTGAACATTCGACTAAATCTTTGGGTGTGCAATTATTTTTAGGCGATTTTAATCGACTAACTGCAATCGAAATATATGGCAAAACTGTTTGAAATTTGGTGATTAAAATCGTACCAAAAAAAATCGCGTCCTGTGCGCCTAGTTTTGTTATTCATATGATATTCATAAAAGCAATGATAGTTTGTTTATGATGTGTCCAATAAGGAAAAAAATAGATACCGTTTAGTTCCTGCTTCATTAAACTTTCACCTATATCCTCGGAATATATTTTGGGGACCCGGAACTGTTCAATTTCGTCAGAAATGAAATTATCGTCGTGGCATCACGTCCACAATATTGATAATTCAGTCGGACGGTTTTCCGCATAATTAACTCAAGTGTGTAATTCCGCAGCCCGCCTTAGTAAATTTCCTTGTCAAAGAAGGGACGTGCAAAATTGCAAGACAAAGCTTAATTATAGCACATATATACAAATTAAAAATTGAATAAATGATAAGAATGTTCAAAACAAAGAAGATGAAGCTGAAATGGTTTGCCTTTTTGATGCTGTTTGTTCAAAACAGTTTCGCCTTCAGTACAACGATCGTGACTAAAACAACACACGAGTAACACGAGTTACATACGAGTACATACGGGTGACATACGAGTACATACGAGTGACATACGAGTACATACGAGTGACATACGAGTACATACGAGTGACATACGATTACATACGAGTGACATACGAGTACATACGAGTGACATACGTTGGATATACGACCAAAATCAGAATAGCCCTTGTTCTTTCACTTTTATTTACTTTCATTATGGATTTTGACGATTCAGACGGCGCAGAAAAGGTAATTCGTTTAAAATAGATATGCTATTCTTCGTACAAGTATCGATATGGTAAAATTATGCAATTCTTAGTACGAATATGAAAATGTTAATACACAAACGAGTGAGAATTAAAGACTTTAAATTTAATAGTTTATTATTTTGATCAGTATCTTTCTTTCGATTCTGCAGTTTAGTGTAGTGTGGTGTGGTGTGGTGTGGTGTGGTGTGGTGTGGTGTGGTGGTGTGGTGTAGAACATGGTAACAGGGGAACAGGGGAGCTACCAGTGGCAGTGGCTCTGTTCCCCCAATCCCCAGTTCTCCTGCTCCCCAGTTTCCCTGTTCCCCTCTTCTCTATTACCACACTCCCAGTTCACCCACTCCCCAGTCCCTCCAAACTAACACACAAAAGTAACCAAATTACAAATACTACAATTTATATTATTCATATGGATAATATGATAAATTATGATGTATATGTTTTGTTGAAAGAAACATTTTACAGTGAAACAACAATGTGCATTTTATAACTTGAAATTATTAAGTAATAAGGAATTATTGCAGTTTTTAAACATTATTAAACACTTTATCTACTGTGTGAACCTCAATTAGCTGCCAAAAAACATTGCATTATTATGTATATTACCTTTTTATGACATTTATTGGAATACATTTCCTGTAATACTATAAATATCAAAAATGCCCAACTTCTTGATTATATATGTATTTATAGGAATAGTTAAAGAATGACAAAACCATATTGTGTAAAGTCTAAATGCTACTCCCAATGAATTCTCCAAGTGTTACATTAATTACACAATAAACAATGTATAATTATGATCAGATCCATATGATTAATATAAATTGCAGTATTTGAAATTTTATTACTTTTGTTTGTTAGTTTGGAGGGACTGGGGAGTGGGTGAACTAGGGAGTGTGGTAATAGAGAAGAGGGGAGAAGGAGAACTGGGGATTAGGGGAACAGAGCCACTGGGTAGTTCCCCTGTTTCCATGTTCCCTGTTCCCCATTTTAAAGATAGCCATGTGGTGTGCAGTGCAGTGCACTGCAGTGCAGTACCAATAAGTGTCTGTTGCACCTTGTTTTTTAGGCCATTATATCCATAGGCTAATATTAGTTCCCTAATGTATTAAAAAATTCATGGTGAAGTACTTTCATCACCTTGTTAATGAAGGAAACATCAAAAAGGAAGAGGCAAAGTGCTGAGGTAATTGACCTGACAAATGATCAAGAGGAAACATTCCCTAGCAGTACTGGTTTATCTCCCATAAGGAAAAGACTTTTTACTGATGATGAAAGGGATGGTAATCTTACAACAGGATCAGTGAAAATAGAACCTGTAGCTGTTGATTGCCTGAGCATAAACGATGACCATATACAATATTACCGCAACAATCGAGAGCTACCAATGTTTAGTGAGAGCAGTCCTAACCTCGAAGAAATATTCAATATATGCCTTCTTCATGATGTATCAAAAGAGAAAATTGTTAAGGCAAAACCAACTCGGATTAAGGAAACTGCTACGTTTGTTGTACAGCAAAATTTAATCAACCTTAAGCACCCATATGATGTTGAAGCAGATGACACGCCGGGATCTTTTATTAAGCGAGATCAGGTCCGTTTTTATCAAGCAACCCTAAGTGATGACGGCGAACTTAGTTTATCAACTGAAGTGCACGTGAAGAAGGACAGAAAAGGAAACATTATCGGAGGGACGTACAATCGTCGTGAAAATGGTAAATGGAAAAGTAAGGCTGCTGACCTAAGCAAGTTGTACGCTGTAGTGCGAAAACGAGCGGTACACAAAGAAACTCTCAAGCATTTTAGCACTTCTTTTACGCGATACGTTATTTTTGTTATGTCCGTACAAGAGTATAACGGCGTTCGTGGAAATCTGACAAGTCTGAAGGTGTACAACCTCTGGTTGAAGATGATTATCATTCATTATTACTTTAGCTCTGGAAATCCTGTTCCAATTATTCCATCAAAACATGGTAATGCAACAAAAGAAGACACACCGTTTTACAGACCAACAGAACATTCCGTTAAACAGGAATGCAAAGAAGCCGTCAAGTCGTGCTCCAGAGCTCCGCGGCTGTTAGCAGAATCCATAGGAGATGCCGACGTGACGATTTTGGAAAGTACAACAGACTCTTCTCGAGTTCGCAACCCAAAGCAAGTTTCCAATTACAAATTCAATTATGGAAGTCATTCGAAGTCCAATGATGAGATCAATGATGTAATCCTTATGTTGCTAGAACAAAATCAAGAAAGCGAGTTTTTAATTTTAGAAGAAAATCAACCGTTCGTTAGAGAAGTATTATTTCGTCATGGATGTCAGCCAGCCATTGTTGCTTTTACAAACCAAACACTAACGGACGTTATGCGCTTTTGTACCAGAGCCGGTAGTGAAACTTCGTTTTCTCCTTTGCTTGCAGACACGACTTTCAATATTGCTGAGTACTATTTCACACAGACAGCTTACCAGAACTTGAGCTTGCGGAAACGGGACTCGTGCAGACATCCTTGGTTTCCAGGACCCCTTCTGATCCACAGAAACAGAGCCACTGATGACTTCAAGTACTTTTGGCAAGCAGTTAAGCGTGAAAACCCTAAGCTAGAAGGATTGCATGTCATTTGCACTGACGAAGACGAAGCATTAAGTGGTGGGATTCTACAAGAAACATGCGGTACAATTCACTTGCTGGGTTTGGAGCATGTTCAAGACAGTGTCGAAAGAAAGCTTACAGAGTTAAATTTCCCTGTTCGACAAAGAAAACTAATCCAAGCCGACATATTTGGTGGCCCTGCTATGGGAGAAGATGGCTGTTTTATGATTGTGAGAGCAAAGAAGAATTCGATGAAAAATCCGAAGCGTTTAAAACTAAATGGGAACGAATTGAAAGATCTTCAACCCAGAATAACCCACCCAGGTTTTGCAAGTATTTTAGCCGGTACAAAGAGAAGCAAATCAGAGAAAAAATGGCAAAATATATCCGTGATCGTGCAGGAGTTCCGAGAGGTTTTGGTCAGAACCCAGTAGAGTGGTTACATTACATGTCAAAGCTTGAAATCGATGCTGAGGGAGATGGCGTTAAACACAGAGATACTAGTCTTACAGCAGCTATTTCCAGCCTTAAGAACAGGGTTATGCGGCTGTATCAAGATGCTACGAAAGCTTTATATGGGCAAGGGCCATACAGATTAGACGAGGAGTACAAGAAATTTTCTCTTGATTACGATAGCTGGAAAGACATGTCGCTGGAGGAACGAAAGCCAGTGATGAAACGTTTTCTCACGAGTGTGTGTTGTCCACCTGTTCTTGCTTCCAGGGATAACCCAGTGACGACAGCCAGCGACGATGAGACCAAGTCCATTCAAAATAATGAAAGTGCAAGTGGAGTACCATCAATTTCAAAGATTCCAGAAGTTCGCCGTCTTTCTATCTCAGCGGATCAATTTGGTATTGCAGAAGAAATACTTCCTAACAGCACGCTGAGAGATATGATCAGGAATGCGGAAGCTCTATTGAATGAGCCAGGTGCAATTTTGCCAGCTGCGTCTGAGGATCCTCGAATGAGAACTGTGAAAAGTAGACTTGGCAAAGTTCCCCTCATTGTAAAGCCATCGAAAACCGGAAATCAGCTTGAGTGTCAGTGTAGCGTTTACACGGCCGTGGGTATCTGTCAGGACACAATTGCCGTAGCCGAAGACCTTGATTGGTTGGAAAAATATGCTGAAGTTATCCGGAAAAAATTTCTAAGAAAGCAAGGGACTGGTGTTAACCTCACAACGGCATATAACGCGCGAAAAACTTTAAAAGAGAAAGGGATGAAACCAGATGAAATTAAAAAAGTTGCAAGAAGAAAGAAGAAGGAAATGAAAGAATCGTGGCAACCGTCTACCCCCAGCCGCAGCCAAGGAACCCTAAAGCATTAAGAAACACTACAAGTCAATTATCATCGACGTTTACGCCACAAATTGCTTCTTCGACCTTATCACACCAGGACGAATTTAGTGATTCCGCACAACGTCATCTTGGTGTCTTAATCCCTAATACCATGCCAACTCACTGTCAGCAATTGCAGTACCTGAACGAGAATCAGAACCATTATCATCCGTCCCTGCCACAACCAAGTGAACCAACGTTACTCTTGGACCAGCACCAACAGATGCAACAACAGTTGCGTAACCTTCGCCTTCAACAAGCGCCACAACCTCACTTACCACAACTTCAGTTGCAACCACCACCACCACAACAACAACAATACTCATTAGCGTACCAACCAGTAGACTCCACTACCGTTTGGCATTCGGGCCTTTCACCTCATCCGTATCAAATTTGCATGCTACAGAACAACGTAAAGAAATGCTATGGGTGCAATCAGGACTTTACACAGAAATACCGTTTCCCACCTCACAACATCGTTGTTCGTCACACCGATAGAAGAATTCGTGGTTTGGATAACAACGGGGCCGTTCAGTATGGCGCAGACTTCACCAATACGTATTATCACTGTGATTTTGGCCACATTGCAAAAAAGAACCCCTACTTTGATGGCACTGTGTACGCAAGTTCAAACTATACTTGACTCCTGATCAGCAATCTGTTATAATGGTGGAAAGCTGAAAGTAAAGTTCTGCTAAGATTATTATCTTCATTGAAAACTCCTACTTTAATGGGACTATATACGCAAGTTCATAACTATAGTAAAGCTGAAAGTTAAGTTTTTGCTAATATTTCTTAATATTTTTTTTACATAAAACGGTATTGTTGAACGCAAAACTGTTGTTTTATATTGAAGTTATGAAATTATTTTAACGCATATCAACAGGAAAATCCAAAACCCGACATACCTTTGTCGGAAGACTATTTTTGGGTTTATATTCGATTCAATTCATCAGACTTTGCTCAAAATAATTCCAGTAATTTCGCGGCTTAATTTTGTCATTAAAGTAATATCACGGCTTACTTTTGTCAAGTTTTCCATATCAGCATTATCTTTTTAATGTTTTACCTTTTGATAAGACGTTTGCATTGGAAAAAGAACATTGATTAATATGTAACCAAACATTGCTAAAAGTTTGAATGACCAAACATTCTGTATTTCATGCTAAGTTTCACTTTTTTAAGTGAGGTAAAGTAAAGCGTACATATAAAAGATTAAATCCAGTTGAATCGTTGATTTCTTGTATGACCTCAAGAAATAGCTACTAATAAAAACGTATCATACTTTTTCAATACTTTAATAGTTTTTAGATATTAATTTTACCTTGCACAACCCACAATGCATTATGATTTAAGATGGCGTCGCTATTGACAAGAAAGTATATTTCATTTTTTTTTACCAATTTTGCGAAATTTTTCTTGTCATGTAACCACTAATAAGACTGAAAAGTGAAAACAATTTGCTACTTGTTTAGAACTCGTATGTGACTCGTATGTCATTCGTATGTACTCGTATGTTACTCGTATGTACTCGTATGTCACTCGTATGTACTCGTATGTCACTCGTATGTACTCGTATGTCACTCGTATGTACTCGTATGTCACTCGTATGTAACTCGTGTTACTCGTGTGTTGTTTTAGTCACGATCCAGTACAACTGGTACGTTTCTTTAAAATAATTGTTGTCAGAATTTGTGATATACGTTATCTGCATGCATGCCCTTCTTTAAGTCATAGCTAGATAGAGCAGGGTCAATTTCAACAGAAGGTATTACACTAATAGAAGTTGATGTGTTATGATTTACGAGGGTATATTCTTCTTTTGTATACGACATGAGGAATTTAAGTGTTATATATTGATGAAGCATGATGTAAAATTTTTCTTAATTCATAATGTCATCTTTTCATCATTGATGGCGAATTGAATGGAACGATAATAGGTTTTAATAGATGTTTCTGGTAAGTGAATATGTTCCATGCATGTATACTTTGTTTGGTTGTGTGAATTTTTTTTGGTTGAGTGTTTAGCGTGTTATATGTATGTGTAACCTCATAATATTGATGAAGCATGATGTAAAATTTCTATTAATTAATAATGTCATCTTTCCATCTTTGCTAGCGAAATGAATGGAACGCTTTACTTAAGCTTCCATTTTCACATCCCTTAAATTACACTGTGGATATAATTCAGTCGCAGAATGTGCATATAACGTTGAGTTTTCTAAATTCCTTGATTAACCCGGGTCCACGGCAGGTAATTTTAGGATATATAGTTAATCTTCAATCACCAGATGCTTTTTGGACGAACGATAGCTACGTCACCAACTGTCTGTGAAATATAAGAACCAGGCTTAAAAATTAATAAGAATGTAATTAAACTTTTGCAATACACATATATTTATATTTTAATTAAGGTACTTTACATCTTTTAAACGAAAACTTAAACTAACTGCAATGGTGACTTAACCTTGAAATCAAGAGTTACAATGCGACGCTAAATTAAATTTGCGTGCAAATACATAAACATGGCAATATGTGGCAAATTAACATATAAAACTAACCAAAGATCACTTTGTAAGTTTTCAAAGGGTCCTGTTTTGAAATATCCGGAATTGTAAGATCGTTTAAAACACCAGATGGCGTTGGTAAGCAAAATTGTCTAATTTGTCTAATTCACTTATCATTGCCTAATAGACCTTTTTCATGATGACGTCAAAGGCGGAAAGTATGATGTTACACGAAGTTTGATTGGCTCGATAGTTTTGTGGGGCCAATTAAATTTCGTGTAACATCAAACTTTCCGCGTTTGACGTCATCATAAGAAAGGTCTATTCAATTATGTTTACGCATCAACTGGTAATTATGTAAGTGTGAACTTTCAGTCAAACCTTGTTAGCACTACGAACTTAGCTTTACTGAGCCAGGCCCTGGACATGTGACAAAAGCCACGTTTACACTAGAAGCCTAGATCTGGCCTGGGCCAGGTCTTGGACAGGTCTAGGTAATATGTGCCACATTCACGATATCGAATAGCCAACATATAATTGACAAAATACATGGAGCACGACCTAATATAAAACAAACTGAAAAGTGTTAATACTAGAATATATCATAATATTAAGTTGAAAATAGATCAGGACTAGGTAAAACCCATTCATGATCACATAACAAAAATCGTGCTCCAGATCAGGTCCAGGCCTGGTTAATGATTACTTCGGAAGACCTGGCCAAAGTGCGTTTAAACGACGACCCCAGCTCTTGCAAGTGTCAATTAAAATACAGAAACCAGTAATCGCCTCAATAAAATACTAACATGACACCCAAAATAGCGGACTACGATTCGTGAACATTGCAGGAGCCCAATACCTCATAAATACGCAGAGTATTTTCTATAATATGCAGAGAGAGATACCCAAGTCTATTTTCTGACAGCGACAGCTAATTGGATGTTGATAGTTGAAAGGCAACAGCACTTCCCATATAGAAGTAAATTATATGAAAACATTCAGACAAAATAACCTAATAAGTGACGAAGTCTATTCAGTCTAGCTGAAAACGTACTAAAAAGCTACCTAATTATCAGATGTAGGCAGGGGCGTAACTACAGGGGGGGGGTTTGGGGGGTGTGACACCCCCCCATTCTGTTAAAATGGTACATTCGTCGGGCAAAAATTGAGAGCAAATGTCGGGCAAAACTGTTGGAAAATCATTTTGACGACAAAATAATCAAAAAGATTGTAAAAGACGTAATTTATAGGTTATTAATAAACAACTGATAGAGGTCATTTGTCGACTCGATACATTGCCAATTTGCCATACTCGTTGCTGTACTGCGTTCTGCGAACGCCAGCACCGTCACCTACGTGTTAAAGCAGGCGTGTTACTCTGATGAGCTGGGACGAATTTATCTGCTGTTTGGCTTCTTTCAAAGTCAACTCGACTCTTTCTTTAGCGGTCTATGTTTTAAGAATAAGGATTTCTTTTTAACCATAGGCAGCCCACGCTCGCGCGCGTACGCGAGGTTACTCGGTATATATTATGACAAGGTTGGCAACTTTTTTTACTAATATTTACTACAACGTTTGCTACGGCCTGAATTTCTCGCTCATTACAAATAAAAATAATATAAAAATTACATCGGTTTATACGCTGGTAATTTGACTATATTCTCCCGAAGTTTTAACTTCAAACGTCAATTTTAAGGATGCTAAAAAAGCAAATGTTTATCGAGATTTTGACAAAATTTTATTAAAACCATGCTGGGGACACCCAGCCTACCCTGTCGTCATCTTTTTGAATTGCAAATAGAAAGCTGATTGGCTGTCGTTTTTTCAGTTGGAGAAAGAGCCAATCAGCTTTCTATTTGCAATTCAAAAAGATGACGACAGGGTAGGCTGGGTGTCCCCAGCATGGTTTTAATAAAATTTTGTCAAAATCTCGATAAACATTTGCTTTTTTAGCATCCTTAAAATTGACGTTTGAAGTTAAAACTTCGGGAGAATATAGTCAAATTACCGGCGTATAAACCGATTTAATTTTTATATTATTTTTATTTGTAATGAGCGAGAAATTCAGGCCGTAGCAAACGTTGTAGTAAATATTAGTAAAAAAAGTTGCCAACCTTCTCATAATATATAACGAGTAACCTCGCGTACGCGCGCGAGCGTGGGCTGCCTATGTTTTAACAACTAAATAACAAGTGCCTAAACACAAAGGATAAAAAAGGATTCGAATTATGGAAGGTAATTAACTACCTGTCATATTATATATTCACAAATTTAAATTCATTGTGTCTTATTTGCCTTTATTATAATAACGCAAGTTGCCAGTTTATGGTCTGAGAAGGCCGTTTCCGACGATCTAGAGGAGCTAATTTTCAAAAATTTTTCGCTCGGCGCCAACCATGGTGGCGCCTCGTAGATTTCCCCAAATAACTGTAACGCAGTCTGCTTACAGCCCATCAAAAAGACGTTGTAATTGCATTTGCTTG